TAAGCTAAGGCATTTCCTGCCTAGTTTTCATCGGAGCCCGGCTCGCTATCCGAACCCTCGGGCTGGTACCTCACCTTGGTCTCGACTTCAAGCCTCTTGGCCTCTTCAATCTCGGACGCTAAGTCAACTCCTCAGGCTTGGGTCTCCTCGAGAGTATCTTTTCAAGATAGACACTTCACATACTCAGCCTTCGTTATAATACGAGCTTTTGCTAACTCTACATCATTCTTGTACTGGGCCAGCATGTCCTAGGCTAGCATGTCCCGGGCTTCAAAACCTCATTTAAAGCCGCCTCCAATTTGGACTTCAGTGCAGTGTATTCCTGACCGAGAGCGTCACACTCTGCAATTATCGAGGCGAGTTGCGCCCGTAGCTCCTCATTTAGCCGAGTCCATTTATCGGCCTTTTCTCTCATCACTCAAAGCTACACTTTGGTCGATATCATGTCCTCTTTGATGGCATCTTGCTTCGATGCTAAGAGATCTAAGCTGTCCAATCAAGGTTATTTTCTCCCGGACCAACGAGGCTGCGGTATTAGCATTTGCATTTAACCACTCATTATCGATCTCGGGCACTCTTACCTTTTCAACAAGAAGGAATGTTCCTATTTTGCTTTCGGAGCCGCGTTTTGGGCTTTCTCCAGCTCGGCTTGGAGGGCAGGGCGATCAACCATGTCCCAGAGTACTTCATCCGTCTGCTCACAGAGAGCTTGATACATTTCTTTTTGCCAAACCTGCTCTTTGAGCTCGAATTCGAGGTGGCTCACCTCCATCCTGACCGGTGAAAGGTTTCATAGTGAAGCACCAAGGCTGAGACATAAAGAAAGAGAAATCGTTAAAATGACGTTAAGGCAAAGAGAACTCTTTAAAATAAAAAGAGAGGAATGTATACTCTATCTAGCGCCTGCTAAGCCTCGTTGAAGAGGCTTGGCCCGACTACCTAGTTCATCTTCACTTGGTCCTCTTCGGTTACCAAGGAGAGAAGATAGATTTCCACTCCGACTGGCCCGGATAGCATGCTAGTATCCGTCGATACTGTGAACATGACCGTCCTCTTCCGTTCAGGGTCTACACTCGGGGCGAGAAACTGCTTCTCGAGCTTTGGGCTCGAACTCAGCCGACCTAACCCTTGTTGCATGTCCCTTTTTGGGATATACAGGTGGCCAAAGCCGGAGTAATCCTCTAGCATGCCGACGTCACACCCTCAAAAAATGAGTTAAGGGACTCATCCACGGCCCATGATGCCTCAGTCAATTTTTCTGCGGTGGCCCGAGCTTCGTCTAAAATGGCATCCATATGAGGCGTTGTCTCTGGAACATGGATAACATAGGCATTTTTTGAGGCAGCCCCCCTTGAAACTAAAGGAGTTTCTTGTAAAGCGGTAGCCACTTGTTCTTCTCCAAGCCCTCGAGCCGAGGAAAACTCGGCCTTTCGAGTGTCCCCCTCCAGGGCCACCAACTCTAGGTCGACATCGATCGCTATGTGAGTGACGAACTCCAAGTCATCGTCATCCTGGGGAAAGTCCTTGAGCCGATGAAGAGCCTCAAGATCCGGAACCCGGGCACCTAAAGCCCTTTTGGTTCTTTTTGTGACCCTGAGCACGATCCTTTTCTTTTTCTTAGCCTCGACAAGAGCGTCCAAGGAGCTAGGAGACCTTTTCTTCTTCTTTATTTTCTCCTCCTTCTTAGAAGAAGCTTCGGTAGTAGGCTGTAGTGAAGCGGAGGGCTTTGTAGACAGGGTCAAGGCCACGACCTCGGTGATTTCCCGAAGTTTAGTAGTCTTAGGCAAACCTGTGGAAGGAAAAGACTTAGTCATAACATATTGACACAATAAGAAATGGTCAAAGAAAAAAAAATCAACCAAAAAGTGGAGAGGCTCACCATGAGAACGAGCCTCCCACTTGCCTTTGGAAATCTTGCACCTCTCACGTTCGGGATAGATGAGTTGTTTGCATATTCCCTTGACCACTCCATAAAATTAGGGACATCATTGGGGACTCAGGAAACATCTGCATATCAAATGAAACAAATAATAAGAAAGAATAGCATGTTCGAAAAAGTACTTTGACAACTTAAGAGGAAGTAAACTTACGTTTTGAGTTCCACTTCTCGCGGAACGGTAGGTACTCGGAAGGAATAAGGTCCTCAATTTTTATCGGAACAAACCTTCCCTGCAAGCCTCAGTTCATGTCCTCGTCTAATGCAGGAGAAGCGAGCTTTCTTTGCCTGATGGGCGAGCTTGATTAATCCTCCTCGGAAGATTTGAGGGCTGTAGACTCGGAGCAAATGGTCAATTGTGAACCGAGGCTCCTCCGAGTTGTTCGCAAAGTAACAAAGAAGAGTCACAATCCTCCAAAAAGACGAATGAATCCGCCCAAGGCAGATTTTGTACCTCTTACAGAACTCGAGGATCACCTTATCGTGTAAATGCTTAAATATGCTTCCACGTGTGTCATGATGTCCTCATCGGGGACTAGGAACGAATATGTTTTTGCCTTCTAATTTGCGGTCCTCTCAGACTACTTGGAGCATCTCCTCGGTGATGGAGTAAACATACCTCCACGCCTCCTCACCTCAGTCTCCTTGTGCGGAGGCTTTTTCGACCTTGAAGTCGTTATCTATGGAGAAGCCTCCATGGATGAAATTTTTAAGGAGAGGTCCCGTGGCTACTACTTGAAGTGCTACCTCGGTACATGTAGTCTGGGAAGAAGTCGAAGGTGCAGTATTTTGGGGTACCAATTTTGAAGTCTTAGCCATCTCAATCTGGAAATATGAAGGTTTGAACGTTTGGTATGAGGTTTGAAGATCTGGTATGAAGGTTTGAGGGTAAAGTATGAAAGTTTGAAGATAAGATATGAATGTATAAAGATGTGAAGAACAAATTATGAAGATTTGAAGGATTGTTGAGCAGATGAAAAACTCTATGGTAACTTAAGAAGGTTCAAAATCATAAAGTAAAAGAGTGAAAAGGGGAAATCAGAGCTTTTATAGGGAAGGAATAATGAATGCATGACATTTTACATTTAGTAACTGCCAAGGATGATCAACCGGCGGCTGACGCGTGTCCAAAATTAGAGCGACGTGATTGATGGGACGTTTTGGCTCGTCAACCTGCTTATGGTGTACAAAGGAAGGAATCAGGGTCAATTAGTCACTTCTCATCATTCCTATGAATCTACTCTCCGAGAAGTGAGGGGACAATCTGTGTACGGGTAAAATCGGGAATAAAGTTACCCCCGATATTCCGATGAAGAAACGAGGAACAACGTGATTCGACGCTGGCTTGGGTAAGACCGAGGGTGCCCGGGGGTGGATGAATGATACGTTAGGAATCGAGCATGGCCAAACACCGGAAGAATCAAGCTCGAGCGAAACAAAGAATCGGGGTAAAAGGTAAGGCGGATAAATAGGACAAACGAGGAGCTAAAATATCCATCACCAACCGGATATTACGGCACGAATCACGCCCGATATTAACTGTGGATCGTGTCTTCTTGGGAAAAAAGGAAGGAAATAATTTTTATCTTATTTAGACTTGTTTTACGGTTAAAACTCCTCTACTATATAAAGAGGTGAACCTTTTCATTTTTTTGGACACTATTGGCAAGCAAATCAAAGCAATAAAGTTTACTGTTGTCTTATAGCAATCGTTCAAGTGTTCTTCAGTTGTTCATCCATTCAGTTGCAACTGAGCTCCATTCCGAGGGCCCTATTGAAATCGGTCTTTAGCATTCAAAACTAACGCCAGGCTTAACTACTTTGTCACATACTCACATTTGGTTTGATTGTTTTGTTTTATTTTAATTCATTTATTTGTTGTTCTTTGGCCATTCGTGTTAAACTAAATCACGTATTCTTTAAACAACGTACAAATCTAATTGTTACTCATTTTAAAGGTAAAAAATATTTGTGATGGATAGCATTTGATAAATCATTAGTGAATAATCTTAATTTTGTTTTTAACTCAAACAAAAACTTTTATTAAGCTGAATCACAAATCAACAAGTTTACAATAAAAAGATCTAGCATAATTTCTAGATTATCTTACCAAACAATGAGCAAGTAGAATTATTTTTTAATCTTAATCTTAATCTTAATCTTGCTTTTTAATCGGTTTTACCGCGTATAACGCAAGCGAGCAGGAAGGAGTCCAAAAGAACGATATCTAAGTTGGTACTCTTTTAGGCAACTTTTTGTTTTGTCTACTATGTTCTCACTTCTCAGTCATAGCGGCTGAAAGTCCACTCCCGATGAATTGCAAGGTTTGGGAAGGGGGTGGGGAGGAGGGGGGAGGGGCGGTGCAGTACATGACATAATCATTAAGTTATCAACAAAATAAACATGAGCCCCTGGTTATGGAAAAATCCTTGGTAGGGAGCGATTCCCCCGAATGACGTCCTACGCGGCATAAATCCGGATATAGTCGGGCTCCAATGCAGCTACCGAACACCGGATGAGAAACCAAAAAAAAAACAGAGTAATTTAGTAGTACCAACTTTCGTTCAATTTCACATCAAATCCAAACTACTTGTATCTAAATTTGAGATATGATTTACGAGTTACAAGTGCATAATCAAGAGAAATATATATTTTTAGCCGCTCTTAAAAATAATAACAGATAAAATATAATATAATTTTGCATGTGTATTATATACAAACAAAATATATATTTTATATAAATTTTGTATTTTACCCAAAAATCAACTTGATGAATCAACTATGCTTCAGGCCTAACAAAGCAAGAGACGACCTAAGGCAATCCAATTTGTCAGAACGCAATTTATTCCAATAATAATTTTGCTTATAAATAATTCTAAATTTAAGATATATTAGGATAAAAATAGTGGTTCTTTAAACCTCAACATGAAGAATTAACTCAGTTTTGTCTTTGTCAAATAAACAAACATATTCCGTTCAATAGAGTATATATCGTTACATGAACTAGTGATAAGTAGTTCAATCAATGCAACAGATTTATAGACTTAGAGAATGTCACTCAATCTTCTCGAAATCATAATGACATCCATTAAGATAACTTTCGGCAAATATACTTCTATAGTTTGGATCAGAAAGTTTCTTCACTTGTATGAGAAGACCCATCAACAGCTTGACACTAGCAAGCTTGTCAGATTAACATATTCAATATTTACAGCGACCATACAGGGGGTTGGAGTTGCACCATCTAAACACTAACTTTAAACACATCATCTCATTTAACTATTCACAACATCCAACCTCATCTCCTGCCCGAAGACAGCTATTTGCTAGAGGATTACTGATGAAACTTTATGTAATAAATCAAGTATGCCTGCTATGAGATGGTCAATGTCCAAAAACAAAAATTACTAACAAGCTAGCCCTTAGCTTATCTTTGTAAAACATATTCAACCTCTCCGACTTCGAGTCCTTCGGGCAATCTGTCATGCATCCAAGAGATAAATTTAGCCAAAAGGAGGAAACAACATTGACGGAAAGCATAAACCAAATAAGTTGGCAATCAACTGATAGAGGATAACGTCTTGATCCCGAACAACGTTTAACTACAAATAAAAGGTATTTTGTGGAGCAAAGCAACTGTGTTAAATAAGCAATTCACGGTGCAATAATTGACACAGTATTATACATAAAAGCTAAGACTAGGAGACCTAAGCACATCCCACATAGTACCAATGATACCTTTTGACTCTTCAACATGCTGATCGGAAAGTTGCTAATCTCTACAACTGTGAAGTCACATGATATCGACATTAATTTGTCTAAATACTTCCAAGTTTAAACAGATTAATTTCTTAGTTACAGTGTCTGACCTATGATTTATTAGAACGTTGTAGCATGCCTTCTTCAAGCCATCTCTATAACTCTGTCAATTATTTTGAGAAAGGACCTAGCAGGACGCCAGGACCTAGCTCTAAAGCTACTTCTTCTCTTTTCTATTTCTTTTTTCCTGATAAGCATGTCCAAAAAGCTTCTCACAGAAACATGGGTAAAACAGAAAAATATAAAAAAGTTGGAGGCTGGAAGGTGAGACCAAGTGGCTCTTCAAAAATGTCAGCAAAAAAGCAATTCTGTTAAAGAAGAGGGAAATAACCAACCGTTCAACCCAATACAGGTGATAAGAATTTGATTTGTGCTATTTTTCTTTCAGAAATAGCTACAATCATCTGGTTAAAAGGAAACAAAAAAGAACAAGATGTGCTAAAAGGAAACTAAAATAAAAAGAAGAATCTTACGGGATCCTCATTCACATTAATGACTTCAGAAAGTGATGAGTCAACAAGAACACTACCCCGCTTCTTTATTTCTGCGGTAGAAAATGACAAGAATCATAGAACACAGTTAAGTCAGACCTGCTCTTCAAAATCCACCAGCAATAAAGTTCAAAGCCTTTGCTGAAGGAAAATTCATACAAATAGATGAAGATTTACACCCATACTAAGATTTTGCTTCACTACCATCAAGGTTAATGATTTTTATTTCTCGTCAACAAAGCTATTAATCAAGCTTAATAATTAGAGGGTGCAGCTGCATTAACAGTAACAATTTTTTTAGCAAGAAAATCATAAAACTTTTGGTCGGAACTCTAACTTAAATAGGATGCCTCCTCTATAGTCTCAAGTCTATACATGGCCTCATGACTTGTTGCCTAGCTCCATTTAAGGAACAAAGCAAAACCAGCTTTGAAATTGAAGGAAAATTAACCAGAATTGAAGAAAGAAAGAAGATGGCACATGGAGATAAAACTGAATGGATAAATAGGAAAGCCTAACACTTGTCAAACCTGGTGCATCCAACAAGAGAGCAGAACTCAAGCAAAAAAGTTCTTTTTAAAAAGAAAAAAAAGAGAAAAAAGAAAAATTGACTTGACAAAATAAACAGAGAAAATTATAGTAAAGCTCTCGCATCACAGAAAGAAACTCAAGTATAACAGAAGACCTAGTAATGCTTCTTCTAATTGGAACAAGCTTAGGTTTCACTGCGAACAAATCTGCAAAGTTAAAGGAAAGAAATAACTAAACAGAGGTAAGATCTTTACCAGCTAAAGCAGTCTTTTTACTACCAAAAGTAGCTTCATCCTTTGACAAGTCAGCTTCTTGTTGAGAGACATATCCAATCATGTCACCACTTTTCCTAGGATTATCAAAAGAAGAGCACTTCTTATTATAACTACAGCAAAAAGCTTTTACAGGTCATAGCATCCACTACGGAACAAAAATGTGGAATTCAACCATAATATGAGAACAGTAGATGCTGCATGAGCCATGAGTACATGCATGAATAGCAGTGTGTGAACATGTTTTACATGACTAACAAATGAATACCATTTTAAAGGAGAGAAGTGAAAGAGTGAGGATAGATGAATGTCTACTTCATCTTATTTTTACCCTTTCTACGTAATACAGTAATATGTTTGACAATCTTAACCCAGCAGCACACAAGCTCCATAGTTTTTGCAGGGGTTGTGTCGATATAAGTTTGTCTTTAGCGAGGGACTATTCTAATGGACCCAAGTGCAGCCCAGCAGACAGATCGTCCTACATTCAAGTGAAACCCAGGATCCAGATACTAATGCAATCCTGATTAAGATTACGCAAAATGCATATCAAGACATCCAAATCCAAGGAAATTTACATAAAATTTGTTTTTGATAAAGTTTACATAAGACTTATTTGTGTGAATGATCTACCTGGTTTTGTAAGATGAACCCCTAAATTATGATGCTTCATCTACCTGGTTTTGTAAGATGAACTCCTAAATTAAGGTAAGTACCACTGACATGTTAAAGTGACTACTATGCAGGGCAAAAAAATCCTTATTAGAATCTCGAAGAATTTAGCGTCAAAGTGAAAATAATTAGAGTTCATCAAAAAAGCTTTCCTAGTTGGCTAATGTTATGACTGTGCCTTCTGCATAAAGTATGTATTTTATCATGCTTTTGTGAAATTATTGTGTTCAAAAAGATATCGTTCAATTTTACAACGTAATGTGTATCAGTTCATACAGTTAATTTTACAGGTGCTATTCATCAAGAGAGCAAGGTAAGTAGGTGATGCTTCCACTGTATCATGCTTCTTTTAGTTAGGAAAAGGAAGAACACTAATAGCAAGCAATTACGTTCCTGACTTAAAGCTGAGTGCAATTAACACGTCAAATGACTTTTTTTTTCTCGAAAAAAAAATGCAATGCATCACACAATCCTTCTCCCCATTGATATTCAGAAAGAAGTAACAGCGCACCAGCACCGTGATTGCAGACCACAGGAATCCTGCATTATTAGCTCAGCATTAGGGACCAAACCACATCGACCGGATCATAATACTAAAAAAATAATAAGGTACAGAAAATGGAGAACAAACTCGATATGACAATGTGATTACGGTGATTGGAGTGAAAAAGAATCTTCAATTGAGAATCAATAAAATCCTAATTCAGGTATGGGTTAAAGTGAAACAAAATTTTCAAAAATCTTTAGGCAGAGGCGAATATTCTTTTTTACTATCAAATCACGGAATTAAGCAAACTGCTTTGGTAATAACAACTGAATGAAAAGTTAAACTTGTTGACCACAATGCAAGACAAAATGTTAGGCCTTTAAGAAAGGTAATACAATCGAGATTCATGTTGTGGGAATGGAAGCAAGGGCAACAAAAAAGTAAAGTTTCTAATTCATGTCTGAGTTTTAGACACTCTTTTGAGTTAAGCATGAGAGTATTTAATATTTTTCTTAAGTATATAGCAATTAGTTTCAAAATACTCTGAAGGAAAACTTCAATTAGGATGTTGGGTTTTCGAGCAAATAAGCTACTTATTGGCAGAAGCAGAAGATTACAGTCAAATCCAAAGGTTGAAGAGCAAAGGAAACATTCAGAAACGTCACCAGCATTCTATCTTGTATTTAGCAGATTAGATAGTCACCAAGCATTACTATTTTTCCCACTTTTCTCTAGTTTTTTTCACGCTCATTTGTAATTGACATTTAAGGTCCTTACAATTCTTAGTTTTTACAATAAAGATTCTAAGTCTTAAATAGCATGCTAATCCACTTTGCAAGTCTACCTTACATGAACTCTACAAAAACCTTTTGCTATATTCAGTGTTGTTTGAGTATATGCATATATGATGGAATATGATACATATACATGACAGATATGAAACATGTTTATTAACCTATTTACTCAAATTTAGGAAAAGATCAAATAGAGATGGTGATAACTCATTCAACCCTGTTGCATTATATATTATTTCTTAGATCTTCCATTCAAGGTTTATTCATTAAAAACCCATTCATGGTTTGCTTCTTAAAAGCAAAAACATGAAACCTACTTCTGTGTCTGGATAAATTTAGCATTTGATGATGTTAGTATACCTGGTCAAGCAAGGAATGGCTACTTAAAGTCCCCAAAATCTCACTATCCAAACTGACAACCTCAGCTTCCCTGCTGTCATAGGTGATCTACACATGCAAATTTCCATTGTTAACTAATAGCAAATAAAATTTTGTCCTAGGTATCTGGGTGTTCAAATATACTTCAATTTGTAGGAGAAAGCCTTTCAGAAGTGAATGCAACCCACGACTAAGTGAACAGATAGTATAGAATAATAATTTGGTTATAGCAAATATAATTCTATCTCAAGATACATGGATTGGTTACACTCCCCCTTTCCCATGATAATCCAACCACAAGTAGCTCATTACAAGTGAACATAAGTCCCACAATCTATCACCAAAAAAAGGAAAAGCATTATGAGCTCTAATATTGTACTGACAAGTTACCAAGCTCAGAAGCCAAAAACCTTAAATAAATCAATTCTCTCATACACAAAGAGTAATAAAGTAGAATTTACTTTTCCAAAGTCTTGCTGCATCTGCAAAAAGTGCTCTGACTTGGGAAATGTGCCAACTACACTCTCTCACTCCTAACTTTTCCGATGGCCTTTTCCGCCGGTAACTTAATTTCTTTTGTCCAATGGGAAGGAAATCTTTTTTCATAGCTGGTAATAAGTCTTTCGAAATTCTAGAAGATTGTGAAGGGATTGACAGGTGGTATGTGTGGATCGAAAGGGGCCATAGATTTTCCAGCCAGATTAAAATAGACGAAAACAATTTAAGATAAGTATGCGAACAAATGCAGCAAGCTTCACGAGGCCAAGGAAATCTGTATAGAAGATGGGGGAGGAAGATCCAAGCATACACTTATAGAGTTTACCAAAACTACAACATCCATGGGAGATACATCAGAATTGAAGCATGGGCAGGGGAAAGGAAAAAAGCTATCATTATTCCTGAAGTTTCTTACAACAGGGGATGGGGAGACATCGCAGGGAAAATATTACAATTTTTGGGGGAAGCTTCAAACTACAAATACGAGGAAATTACTGACTTAGG